GAGGGGGCAGAATGGGTGGTAAGGGAGGGGGTGGGGGCAGGGGGGAGAAATGACCCAAGCCTTGTATGCACATATGAATAATAAAACAATAAAAAAGAAAGTCTGCTGGTCTCACCCTGTACTTTTTATTCAAGGTTACTACAATGACAGTATCTTCGCTAATGAACAACTACGGCAGGACACTTTTAAGGACTGGCCCCACCAGTACCCTGACAAAATTCTCGCTCTGGCTAAAGCAGGTCTTTTCTACAGAGGCAAGTAATAGGGGATTGTTTAGCCATTGAAGCCCCACCTAGACTGTGTGACCCCAGGCTTGCCTTTGTCTATATCTGACCATCTCCTCTCTTTTCAGCACCCCTTTTCTTTGCTGCCCTCTAAATCCTTTCCCAGTTTTCCATACCTCCCTTAGGTGATGGACCTCGAACTTGAAACCTTCAGGACTGTCTCTTCCTTTCTACACATCTTTCTCTGCCCTTGACCCCCATGTTTGCAATCTGTCACAGGGTACTTCTGCTTGTATTTTTTTAACCAGAATTTAGTCAGATGGCCACACCTGCCTGTAAGAGGGAGCTGAGAAGGCTAACATTTTTCCTGAGTGGCCCTGTGCTCCCCTGAGGATTGGGGTTTCAGTTACTATGGAAAAATGGAAGAGGGGGATGTGGACTGTGATCTGCCAGGCTCTATCTACTTGGGAGAGAAAAGTCAGGATGCTCATTTCCTGATCCTACAGCTTGCAAAGTCTCCCACAGTTCTGTTCTCAATTTGGCTGTTTCTCAGCAGAAGCCCGCTCAGCTGGGTCTGCTGAGGAACAGGGATCAGGGAAGGATAAGGAGCCTTCCTCAGGCCATCCGCACCCTGAGTTACAGGGGAGTCTCATGCAGCTCTTTACTGAGTGGTCACGTAGCATCACAAATATAACAGAGTGGTTCAGAACAGGGGGTGTAGCTGTCACTTTACACCCTCTTGGCACAAAAAATTTCTGTACCTCATAACCATAAGCCTTTGGTAGCAGAGAGCTGGGTCCTTTCTCCCGCCTCTCTCTAGTATGTCTTCATCCTGCCAGTCTTCATCAAGTCTTCAATATGCTCACTGAGTTCCTTCCCAAACCTCCACAAATCCTA